CCTGAGCCGGTGAGATTTGAACCGCTGAACTGCTGATCTAGCAGTAGCCTGCAGTGCTGCATTTAACCACTGCGCCACCTTGGCTCATGATATATCATGAAGATATTTACATAAAACATGCAATGTCAGAAGCCAATGATCATATATAAACCATACTTCATGATTTATATCCAGATCAATTCTACGTTACTATTTATTGCACTTCTCTATCTTGCTGTTTAATTGTAAGTTTGACATTGTTAAGATTTCTAATTGCAAATTATAAGACTTAGGACAGGAATAATGCTATAGTCTTGACTACATAACAGTAGTTTTGTACTTGAAACAGAGTTGCATGGAGCTTTGTACACAAAATAGCTAAAAACAAATTATTATGAATATCTTTATTCCTAAAAATAGTAAACTGTAGCAATAGCAATAGCACTTAGACATATACTGCTTCACAGCCCTCTCTAAACAATTTACACAGCCAGCATATTAACCCAACAATTTGGGTCCTTATTTTATCCACCTCGAAAGGATAGAAGGCTGGGTCAACCTTGAGCCTAGTGCCAAATTGCAGGCAGGCAGCAGAAATAGCCTGCAATACTGCACTCTAACCACTGCGCCATTGTGCATTTTACACAGTAAAATTTTAAAGAGATATTTTAGGTAAATAGAGGAACCTAGATATAGGTAAGCCTTGACTTATAACAATAGGGATAAAAAAATTCATCCTTATGCAGTGCAGTGATTAGGTGAGGCATGTTTTACTACCTTTTTGTCTTGTTAAACAAATCACCTGCAGTCATTATGACGTCACATGACTAACTTGAAACCTTCTGTCATTAAGCTTGCTGGGAAGGACACAAGGTAGTAATCATATAACTATAGGACACTGTAACTTTCATATGTGCAAGGTAGTTAGCAAGTGCCTAGATTGTGATCACATGACTGCAGGGACCCTGCAAAGGTCATAAGTGGGAGGATGTAACTCAGTTTTTCAGTGCCATTGTATCTATGAACAGAAATGAATGGTTGTAAAGTAGTCATAAATGGTTGTAAGCCTACATATGAAATAAAATACAATCTTGAAAACTTGAAAGATAAAGGCAGTATTTAAAGAAACCAGAAATAAAATATATCCTGTGTAGGATTTTTTTAAAACTGAACAAACCAGAGTGAATCTGTTAATTTAATGTTTCTTAAAGCAAAATGTTAGTCCTGTTAAAAATGGTCATTTTCTCATTTCTTGCTGGATTTGATCCATCCATG